TAGAAGGTTGTTGGTTGAGGGCTGTAAACCTATCTTACGCGTCTCGCGATCTCTAATGTTTTCCCGATATAATACATATATGTTTATAACACTCACTAATATATTATGTTCTAGTTCATTCAGCTAACTTTACTATATGTCGTGAACAGTTTGTTGCGGTAAGTTTGAGGGGKAACGAAAACCGTGTTAAAAGTTTTGATCACCACGTGTGCAGCTGCAGTAGACATGGTAAATGTTTAATAATATATAATACCTACACTGTGTGCGTGTGTTATATACATATACCTAGTCATTTTCCCTATACGTTTTACTTGAACATACCTATTTCATTCATAAAGAGCGTTACTACTTGTTTTTCCGAGTTAAAATTTTTACCTAATCAATGCTACACATGTATACTAGAAATTATTCCTAAAATTATACTTTTACTAAGCTAAAATTTAATTTTGAAAAATGTAAACGCCTTTTAATACTGTAACCTGTAATATTTACGTGTCGCATATATTACACTATTGTGTTCATCATAAATTAATTTTTGTTCTTTAATAATATTTTAATATTATGCTGCTGTGCGGCCATCGTCTTGATAATATAATGAAATTATTATTATTATTCAATCGTGGTATTTGTATAGGCGTTGCAGTTACTTGAGCATTCTCGACTGGTGTCTATATATGTATACCGAATTTATGTATATAATATTRTATTTAATTCGGTGGGCGCAGCTACGTATATTATAGGGATGGGTGGGCAGTGGATGGCAAACGACTGACCGTTGATTACATATTAGTAAACTTGACCTTGGGTAGATGCAGTGTCTGGCCCCGGTTTCTCCGCCGCTACAACTTGACTACCCGAACTGCCGGTGCGCCTTATAATAAATAATAACAATAATAATAAGTACCTGCCTACCTGATAATATGTATAGCTGTGAACGAGTGTATATATTATGTATTATACAATATATTATGTCTATATACAGTGTGTGTAACATACAGATCTGATAAATACAAATAAAACATTGATATACTTGTTAAACGTTACACACGCATTATAGAAATTGTATGGACGATAAATAATTTAAGAAATACGTGCCTATACTTATGTCAGTAATTTCCCAAAAAGAATATTTCGTAAAAATTTATTTTGTTTTTAAATAAGTTTTCATCAAAAAAATAATTAAAAATACTTTAAAAAATTGAAATAAATAAACTTGACTAATAATAATAATAATGAAAATACTACTTGACTCAAATTAACGGTTTTTTTTTACCTTAAAAATATGCCTAAATTTATAAATAGATAATTTGAATTCCTAAAATTATAAATTTTAAATCTTTGGTATTAAAAACAAAAATAAAAAATGTTATACTATACCCAGTTGTAGTGCAAGCGTCTACAAATCAAATAATAAAGAAAAGAGGTTTAATATAGTTTATTAGAACAGAAGTTACTTTGTTTGTCAGGTATTTTATTGTTACACCTTGTTTATTATTATCCACATATTTAACTTTACAAAATACAAAATAATAAGTTTGCATTATTATTAGATATAATATTTTATCTCGGTCGTCTGAAATTATTTGTAAGTTAGGTACACGCACGCATGACTCATTATGCATCGTGTCGCCGGACGCATAAGACACGTGTGGTGCATCTCTGTCATCTCACTGCCGTAGTAGAGTGTTCAACAACAATAACAATAAATTATTGTTGATACACTTATTTCGTCTGTGGGATTTTGTACACATGCGAACACGCGATCGTCGCGTAAGTATAATAAATAATAACATATTATTGTTATTGAATTATATTATATGTTATTGTACCTTTGAATCATTATGATATTATAATATACCTACCTATAGCAGCGGCCAGCGGAAAACGATGATCGGCGATCAGTTGCTTCCGGTGGAGATCGGCGATCGCGGATTTCCGCGGACTGCGCAGTCGAGTGTACGCGGTCGTGATAATATTATAATATATTTGTTTTTGACGTTTTCGCCTTTTTATTATAATATATAAGATAAAATATTAAAAAACAAACATTTACATATTATATAATAATATATATATATTGCAGTTATATAATATATTATGTTTTGCGTGCGTGTGTACCGAAAAAATACTATAGCGGGAAGGACACGAAACRCGACCACATAAATATTCATTTGTAGACAACACACACACGCGTTCATTGGTCTAACGAAAACATATATTATTACAATAAATATTAATATAAGACGAAAAAGATAATAAAATAATATAACAACATAACGCGTATGTGACACGACGCGTTTGCATGCACATATATATCTAAGGGGCTAAGTACAGTGTACGTAAGTATAATAAAGTAATACATTTTTTTTTC